AGTGTACTTTGCCTTGTACTGGGGACTCCCTTGGCAAGATGAAGTGACAGACATAAGAAGGGGATATGCTACCCACATGTGTTTTGTTTGAGTTTTTGAGACAGGGTGGCACTATGCAGTTCAGGCTGGCCTTGAACTCCTGGCAGTCCTCCTGCCCCAGCCTCCTGAGTGCTGCCATGGTAGGCGTGCACCACCACACCAAGCAATGGGAGCCCTTTTCACAGGGGTGCCCCAAAGGGTTCTGAGGACCCTGGAATGTGGCCACACAGACAGTGGTGTGTCCTCATTTTCTTCTTGTCCTTGTTTTCTAGGCCCTGTCTAAAAACAGGGTATCCAGCCATTCTCTGCTGTACCCAAAATCCTGTGTCCTGGGAAGAGGGTGTGGGCTGCCCCCTGACCACCTTGTGTGCCCACACCCTCCAGTGCTGGAGGGCAGAGAGCGGTGAAGAGGACTTGACCGGAAGGGCTGGATTGCGTCAGAGCTCGAGTCTCGGGACTGGAGCCTCCTTGCTCAGAAGCCCCAGGGCGATTTTCCAAGCAGTCACAGGAAGCCGAGCTCCGGGGCCCTGGAAGCCGAGGGAGGATTTGCATCCGGAGTCCTTTCATTTCTGACAATTTCTCCCAAACACCCAGTCAGAGACCTCATCTATAAGTTCGGGCTTGTACTCTGATTGCACAGAACACGTGCCCCCTCCCAGCATTGCTGGTCTTTCCCTGAAGGCTTTGAGCGGGGCTGGACAGCTGCACGCACACGCTCTCTTTCCCGGATGAGCGTACTATGCGCTGGCTGCCACTTCCAGGTGCCCAGAAGCAAGCATGTAACATTGGCACTTCACTAGCCCTGTGCCCACCAGCCACGCTGAAAGGGCTCTGGGTGACACAGGAGTTGGTGGATGGACACTCAGCAGCCTATGACTCTCAGGATATCTATCCGTGAGCCCAGCACAAAGCTGGGCAGACATCCCTGGTGGCTGCCACCTATGTCCTCCTAGCTCTCTGAGGGGCCAGAGACACTGTCGCTCCAGAACTCAGCGGGTCAGTCTGGTAGTGTGTCCCAGCAGGGCAGACATGGAGGTGTCCTTCTCTCAGAAACCAGAAACAGGGGCTGGGGAGATGGCTCAGCAGAATAAGCACTTCCCTGGCAAGCACAAGGGCCTGAGTTCAATCCCCAGTTTAGGGAAAAAAAAAAAAAGAAAAGAAAGAAAGAAACCAGAAACAATGAGCTGGGAGCTCACAGTGACAGAGGGCAGCAAGCAGGATGGCACTGCACTGGGTTTTCTTAATGGGACAGTTCTACATGTCCAGGGCCATCAGGGTGGCTGCAACAGCCTCCAGCAGGGGGCTCAGGACTAAAATCATTGTGACCCCACAGAGCCAGCCTTTGAGGTGACCAGTGCTCAGGCCTGGGACAGATGGCTCTGGTGGATTCTGAGAGCTCGCAATGAGTTACTGAGTCTGCAGGAGGCCTTGGGCACCTACAGCACTGAGCAGTTTGTCCTGGCAGCTGGTGAAAAATCAGAAATGGCTTCTGAGTAGGGATGACATTGGCCCATGGCAGCTGTGACTACCTGTGGAAGTTACCACCTGGATGCTGAGCATCAAAGCCACCCCTTGGGTTGCTTTATTTTGGGCTGATGCTGGTCACCATACTTGTGACACCATCCTCACAGCGCCCTTCCCTCACCGCCAAGCAGAAAACCACAGCCCTGCCGTGGTGACACCTCCGCACCCGGCTTCC